AGTTGGGAAATAGCAGAGCAACTTTCCCTCATCGCGTCGAGCTTTGTTAAGGAGGAGAAGAAGTAGTAAAGATTTGTCTCTTTTTCATTCACTCGTATTTCTCAGGCAATGCTCCCACTTTTTCTTTGGGATTTGGGGCTAGGAAGACGAGAAAGAGGAGAATCCGCTAAAATATGGAGAGGACTTTGCTTAGGGACGGCCGAAATGGGATGATTGATGAGAGCGCCATGGCCTGTCACCTGCTCCCAGCAACTCCTTCCTCCTCCAAACCTTGCCCGGCTACCTCCTCCTCCTCCCCTCTTATTTAAATGGGGTGCAAGACCAAAAGCTCCGCTGTCGTAAAAAATTAAGTAAAAGCGAATAACAAAAGACATCATTCGAGGCATAAAGCAAGTCATGATTGAGATCACAGTTCCGTCGAAGAAGAAGAGAAAGTAAATTAAACAGCATAAAAATACAAAATACGTAAGATCAACAGGGATTCGGCTCAATATAAAATTTTAACAAATTTGTACTGATAATGATATAAATACTGAAGACTGAATTTTAGATTCTGGACATTTTGTAGCTGGAAACCAAGTTTTTGAAACGTATCCCCACAACCAAAGTGAGGAATATGGCATCAACAACTCTAATCCTCTCCCACTCACTAAGTCTCTCACGCTACGCCATGCCACATGCTTTTCCATCTTGATATATGCTTTCTCCTACCGGCTTGTAAACGTGTTTATTTCAACCTCCCGCAGCTCTACCACTACCCAAGATGGGCAAATTAGTTGTGGACTGGCGGGCGGTATTGGCCTTAATTTATTGCTGTTCATCTCGCCACACCCACCCTTTCTGGCACCCTGCATACGAGGAAGCAGCAGCAGCAGTGGTCGTCGCATAGCGTATTTTGTGCATCCCTCATCCCAGATACATGTGTATTCACGAATAGAGTGGCGTTCATTTTAGCTGGCCACAGCACAGCCTTGAGCTACGTGTTGCCTTGCTGGGCTTTCCCAACTGCATAACGCTTTAATTCTGTTGCTTCATTTCCTAAAACACGATGGGATGTAGATAAACGTGTACTATTTGGGAGTGTGTGTAGGAGAAAGTTGGCAAAAAGAGCGGAGGTTGCCAACAGGCTGACACAGCTGCCGAGCTCCATGCACATAGAGCTCGTCGTGTTGGGCGGATTATCTCTTGGGCGATAATAATTCGAACCATGGGGATGTTGGATGCATGGTGGCGGTGGCGGCGTCCAATGGGTGGGTGGGGATATGCTGGAGATGTGCCAAGGAAGCAAAGGACGGAGCAGAACCCTTCGAGATGTGATGTGGGCCAGGGTCATTAGTCAAGTCGTGGCAGTGATGAATTCTCTCACAACTTCCAAATCCAATACCTTTTACTTCTGGCTGGCTCATGAGGACCCCCGAAAAAGTACCAGAGAAGGAGCAGCAACATTAATTAGTTGGTCGGTAGCTTGGCGGAGGATAGAACGAGATGAAGAGGATTCTCATACATACATACTGGTAGTAGGTGCTATTATGTCACACACATGCTCGTCATCACCCACCCGCACTTTTGCCCTCCTCTGGTATTTACCAACACCTAGAAGTATGTATGCATATAGTGCTAAACAGTTTCCAGGAAATTATTCTCTTCTCTCTCATCTCCGTTATTTGGAAATTCTAAAAACAACCCGAAATTCGACAATGTTTCTAATTTAATAAGAAATTCTCATCTAAATTATCATCCATATATTTAGAAACAAACAAATTATCAAGTTTCACTTTCTTGCCGAAATTTATTAATTGACAACAAAGTCTTCGCTCTCGCTCTATCTTTAGCCGAGAAGAAGGACAACTTATTTCATTCTCCTCGGCTTCTTAATTTGATGGAATCTCTGCAACAGTTTTGTGAAATTCGTCACTTTTCAACTTTCTGCATCTGGCGTCCGGAGAAAGATCCGCAATTATTCACAATTTTTCGCTCCGCTGCCCCCAAACAAATAACAAACATTGAGAGAGTTGGATTGAGAATTAGGAAGCATAACTGTGGGAGCAGAAGCAATTGCATGACAATTTGGAGGCTGGAACAGGGAGACTGATTCAATTAGAGACAACATCATCCGAACCAGCGCATCCTTCCTCTCCAGAAACACAACATTATTAAACAAAACAGTTTGGATAGAGCAACAACTTGGAGAATTGGGAAAATTTGTTGGTGGCACAACTTCACATCCGAGAATCCACTTGACTTGACATTTTCTCTGAACAGAATGAGGACGACGTTTGAGAGAGATGGTTCGCAATTGGCGGAGAGAAAGGTCAAATTAATGGATGGGGAATGGGTGGGGAATTGGACAAGAGGTGATTTATCTCTTTAATGAAAGTCCCGATATTTGGGAAGGTATTCCGAAAATGTCAGCCTGCTAAAGCCACTTGAGAAGGGTCGACGTCGCATCCCGCATCGTCATCACCACCACTGATCCCGCTCGCCTCCTACAAAATATCACATCTTCCAACAAAATGACCATAAATTTCCGCAAAGTCACAGTGAAACAATTCAAACGTTAAAAATATGGCGTTCGCGGATAGAAAAGTTTATACGTCTGGATTTAGTTGTTTGTTGTTGGGAGCTTACTAGATACGAACCTTCTACGCATTTAAAACTGGGCTGGTATCTGCCTTGGTATTTGAAATAGTTATCTTCTCAGCCATTTGTTGCTCGCCCATTGTTCTTACAACTTATCCTCTGAAAGGTTGAAATTGTAAAGCTTTTCGTACTTAATTCCTATTTGTTCAATCTTCACTCATAACTCAAACGGGCGGCGGATTGGGAAGAAAGGGGGCATAACACAATGCTTTGTTTTCTAAAAGAGTAAAGTGAGCTAAACGGATTAGCATTTAATTGGAATTTCTCTCTCAACTCCTATTTAGACAAGGGATTAGCCGAATCAAGAAAGTCGAGGGGAAGAGTTGGGCCGGAAAGAAAATTATTTTCGATCAGCCATCCAAATCAACTTTTCCAAATTAAATATGCCAGCAAAAAATTATTCACGAATAAAATGCAACAGTTTATTTATTTGTGCAAGCAGTAAATAATTCAAATTATTTATTAGCGAAATACGAAAACAACTGGTGTACATCCATAAGTTTCCTACCGTACACGGTGAAATAATGAGTATTAATGAACGCGATGTGAAGACAGGTGATAAATTAGATTGAAACACCAATAATTAGTTTTCTTTCTTCCCAAGACTGCGACGGGGATTAAGAAGAATGATTATGAGGGATTAGCACAATCTCACGTTTCCAGAGTCACAGCCGTCACAGGTTGTCATACGCGTCCATTTAAAATAAATCTTCATTAAGTGCAACTTTAAAAACGGTTCTCTAGACGCGTCGTGATCTTCGTGGAGCTATGAATGGGCTAAAATATTAGGCGGAGCGAATTGTTTTTCTGTATGGTGGCATAAACTATTTACTGCTAATGCACGTCGACCCGATTATAGTGAACCCACACCCACAGATATATAATCCAATCCGCCGCCAGCCTTATTCTCCATCGGTCCGAAGATCCATTAGCATATTGGAGAAAGTGTTGCTGGTTGGGCGGCTCGCGTGTTAGGGATGAGTTATGATCTGACGTCACGACTGAGGAAATAAATAAATTTGGAAACCCATAAATCCTGAGAAAGGGTGGACAGCGCATATAATCTCACCAAACTTCACTCGTATACATGTACACACACACACACATAACTTTGTAGGAGCACACTTTGGTAGATTACTTTCTCCTGAGAAGAGTGCAACAGCGTCTTAATTGTGGCCAGAGCTAATTGAAAGCACACATTGAGCAAGAAATGCAACAATTAATTGACGAATTTAATAATAAAAGATAACACTTGTTTCATGAAATATATATAACTCCAGAAATAAATGTTCCCCTTCCTTCGTGGACATGTATGCAAATATGCTCAAGCCCCTTCTATCTAATCTCACGTTCTGCGTGGCATGGTTTTAGTCGCAGGAGCAGGGTACAAAATGAGTTCCTATGATTTGACACTTGACACGGGTGTTGAAGTTTTACAATGATTGATGTGTGTTCTGGCCAAAGTGTGCAATTAGCTCCATTTCCGGGTATATTTCACACCGGACAATGGTTTGGTTTCGTTATTGTGTTGTAATCACAACAGCAGCCGAGAGACCATGGACTCATTACACGTATCTTATTACAGGAGGCCCTCCTGCTATACTAATTAATGCACATTTTTAGTATACGTACGACATAACCATCATCACTCAAATCTGGCCCGGCCTCCGCTCAACGATCGTAATTAGAAATGCATTTCTAATTAGAATTGTAATTACCAATGGCCGCAAATCCATCACGTTCTCATATCACATAAACTTGTACCACCAACTTGTTCCCAGTTCCTGAATTAGTTTACTTTGCCTGCAGCAACAATTTTCTACTTTCTCTCTGCACCTGTGTAAATTCCTCTAACCGGACATTATTTCACCTTGATCGGGACCTTACTTTTCTAACCCATCCAGTCAATAGCTCATGTGGACTGTTAAGTCACTCAATCAAGCAACCTGCTCGTCTACGTATGCAGCCAAGTCAAGCACGGCCGCCACCGCCGCCGCATACATACTGTTCTTTCGCATATATTTATAGCGTTCTCAAACTTTGACTGAAGGACTGGCGGACAGCCCATAAATAATGAGCTCTGCTTTCCTCTCTCCTGGATGGATGGATAATACGCTAATATTCTGCATAAGAAGTGGACTGGGCGAGTTCGTCCTAGCTCCACTGCGGTCACTTGACTCTTTCAAAAGCAAGGAGGCAGGCAGGCTATCATTATTTCCTCCAAGTTGTTACCAGGAGCAGCATATACTTATGCCTATCATGCCACCGCCACCACTTGTCAATCACACGAAGGGAACGGTATGAAAATTCTGAACCATTGATCGATTCATTTCAATTCATCTCCTCCGCCTTGTCTGCACCCTTCCTCGCAGAAAACATACCCATCCCACCCAGCGCTGGACGTCAAGAGAGAGAGAGAGACAAGTCGTTTTCATGAGTGGAGTGAAATATTGGTGCTAGTAGTGGATGCATGTAGCCATCCAGCCAGCCAGCTTGCACGGGAAAAGGGGAAAAGTTGAGCCGCCGAGATGGGAAAGTTTGAGACTTTGAGTGGTGAGAGAGAAACTTTGAGATTTATGACAGTTTGGCCCGATCATTATGCAGAGATGGGGATAAGTGTAGGACACACAACTAGTGGTGGTGGTAACAGCAGAAGAAGTGTAATGCCAGGGATGGTGGTTTGCTGTTTGTGCCGTGTTACAGCATATGTAAGATCGTGTCCCGTATTGATTTATAGAAAAATACTTTCATAATTTCCCCTCAATACTTGACCCCTCCTTTCCCACTTACATATTCATTCAACATGCTAAAAAACGCGGATTTTGAGTTGTTGCTCTTCCATGTCAGGTATTCAACAGTATCATCATCTCGAGATGTTTTCTCCACTTCCATTAAAATGTACTTTCCCCACCAATAAATTTCTGGTGGAGACTTTCAAATGGACATATCTCCTCCGTTCCATTCCATCCCATCATTAATCTCAAAGACAGGAGAAGAATTCAAACACTTTTGTGATTCCGATTGGAGGTTTGCTCCTCTGCTCAACACACCACATACTTGGTTCCAAAACGTACGTACCAAGTTTCACTCTTTGATTTGGATGTTAGCAGAAAGAGTTTGAGTGCTTCTTGTGAATAATTCTGTTTTTCTCCTTTTTAATAAAACAGAAAGAGATAGATGGTGAGGACGCGGGTCTAGTAAAGTTGTCATTGATCTATGACACGTGAGAAGGAGAAAACTTTGTGCCCAATCCATCCATATCCATCCGTCTATCCGTGAGCTATTATTCATCCACAAGAAATCAATGGCAATAGCACTTATTCGCACTCATAACTCATTCCCCGTCTCTAATAATGCTGTGTACTTGACCACAACAAAGTACCATGTAACTCGCATTTGTAACAATGTGGCCAGACCCACATTGTACATACACCAGTAAATTCGTACATACATACGTATTGTATCTTCAATTTAGACAGAAGAGAAATTCTGAAATTCTGAAAGTCTTTTTTACTTTGTTTATTTACTCTTCCCACCAACAAACAACAAATCTTTACAGAGTAAACCCTTTATTAGAGGTAAAAATTATGGCAATCTTTGTTTATCTTAAGTTGGTAAGCAATTCATTACAAAAAAGACGTTCATTATGTGCATTCATGTTGAGCGAAGATACGTACTACTTTAGAAAAAAATGTTTCTTGCACCACGCCAGCCATGAATTAATTATTGATATAATCCAAATCTATAGTACATGTAAAAACCTAGCATAGTTTTAGTTTAAAATTATTACGACGAACAGTTAAACATTATTGTGTGGCTGTAACTAAAATTTTATTGTATTTAGTGCATCCAATAATTTAGGATTGCTATATTACTGTTTTAATATGTATAGTGGAAATGCAGGTTTGGTACGACTACAGACAGACAACTGCCACACTGGAAGGTGGCGATTGTCGAATGCATGATTTCTTAAAACCTTAAAATTATTCTATTGCTTTTAAGTAATACAAAGTCTGGATTGTATTATAACTTATCATCAGATTGCTGCATAATTGCGTGCTTATCTTGGACATGCATTTATATCTTTTACTGTACGGCTACTACTTATCTGTACGTATCACAATTTGGCACTGTTAGAAATAACAACAAAACAATGAATGGGTTAACAAACAATTTACAGGTTAACAAATAATCAGTAAAGTTATTGCAGTTACGGACGGAATGTTTTAGTTTTCAAAAAAAAATGTGTCATTTTAGAAAAATGCAATACAAATTCGAGTACAAAAACTTAAATACTATACAAGCTAAATATTTGGTAAACCTTATTGTAAAGCTAAAGACGGAGAAATCGAGGAATCCCTTTTTCAAAATTTAAAGCCCAGTACAGTTATTTTTTAAAGCCATCACCACTAATTTGGAAATTTCGGTTTCGTTTTATTGGACATTGACATTGGAAATTTTGGCATCAAGTATTTCGTCTGCTGCTCCCTGTTCATTCTGACGAGTGTGAGTAAGCCGTATTTGTGTATCCTCTCGTATTTCCAGTAAAGTTGGTTCCCGATCCGGAGTAAATGGAGGATGATCCCGTCACAGAGCTGCCCTTTCCTGATCTTCTTCGCCGTATGCAAAGGATGAAGAGAAGCAGAATGACGGCAATCATAAGAATCTAGAGTAAAATAAAATCGTACGTAGTTTTTATAACTAATTTGTTAAATGTTATTGAATATTTATGTCCACTAGATGCATTTATGAATTATAAATAAACCGAAATTAGTCAACTAAAATAAACTCACCAGCCCAGAAATGGCGATAGCAAGAGCGAAATCACGTCGAGCAAAGCAGAGGACTTCTCCCCGTTCTTTTTTCTCTCGAAGGACTTCGGCAGCCTTGTCTGCTTCCGTGGAATCTGGAGGTTCGTTTACCCAGAGGCCGTTGTAAACCTTGAAAATATGCCAGACACAAATTATTAACGAAACAGAAAACGTTTTAAAACAAAAGTTCTTCAGTCAATTCACGACATGCAAATCCATAAATCCATAAGTGAAGTAAATACCTGGACTGTTGCTGGTTCGTCCCCGTTGCTGGCATCTCTTTTAAACTTGATTTGGGACGATGTGTCCCTCATATTTTTTGATCCCTGACACATCGGAGGGCTGCATGAATCTTCATTTCCCTTGCAAATCTTGACGGCACAAGAGTAGTACACTGTTGGCGAGTATGGGAACTTGTGTGCTGGAAACTCCACCTTGGCCATATTTTTCGAATATGAAAAGGGTGGCAGAATTTCAGAATCCACCGGACATCCCACATGATTTACCAGAAGCTCCTCTGCCCAACCTAGACCGTCACGGACATGACAGTCGGATACGAGGAAAGACGACCTGAAATCATTACGTCATTGTTAGTATAGTCAGAAAATAACTTAAGTATTAAAAAAGCTTAACAAATGAAAAGCTACAAATTCTTACGTTGTGTTGGAATGAACTTGAATATGAAATTGTAGCAGATCTCTGAAAATTCAATTACATGCGGTATTATTGACAAAGTAAAGACCAAGCCTTACGAAATAATCTTTGCAACAATTCTTAATTTTAAATGCAAATGCAAATTCTCCGAGAAATATATTGCCGTATAAAGAACTGAATCTTACCCGATTTCCACCGTTTCGTTGCCTTGATGTCTTATTTCCTCTCCATTCTTGTATATCTTCATTGTAACGGGAGGAGTGTTTATGCCACTTGACCTTCTGTACTTACATCTCACGTGAAACCCACGTCCCATACCTTTGATGACAAATTTTATAGAATTAAATATTAGTTTTATAGAATTAAGTAAGTAATTAATTAGTTAATTAATTTCATCATTATTACCGGTAACAAGTTTGGGATGTGGTTCCAACACGATTGTATTAAAATATTCCTCTTCTCCATCGTCGTTGGAAGCAGTGGTCATCGTGTTGCAAGATCGAAGTGGTAACGAGTACTCGATAAACTCTTCGGAGGAATCTGAGCATTTTACATAAAATATTTTTTGAAATTCATATAGTTTTCATATTTTATTTATCGTCGTTTACGATTTGCGACCGATCTGCTAAATTAGAAAAAATTAAATTCACAAACCATATTCTTTTAAACAGCTCGAGTTTTTTGACAAGCCCTGAAATGTTAACGTTCCTTATTAAACTTTACACTCCAAAGGTTTCGCATTGATTTTCTGGATATAAGAACTTACCTGTGGGTAGACCATGCCATTAAAGTGTGGATGCGGCGTGGGTATTTTAACTCTAATTTCACTAGTGGCACACTTGATTTCAACATTTGTAATGTTTTCCAACAACTCCTCGTTGACCTCCTGGTCCGAAGGAGGTGGTAGACTACGGTGTCCAACGTTTGTTTGAGGTTTGCCTCCGACTAGGGATACGAGCACCACACCCACAATCAACCACGGCGTCGTCCTCCACTTCGTCCTCCATCTCTCCAGTACTATCATTGCTTACCTGCACAGACAAAAAGTCAGGCTCAAATATTATCTCACATTTCCCTCATTGCAAAGAATTGACATCATCGCACATATTTCTACGACGAATTTTAGTCTTTCAACACGACCGAGTTGCAATGTCATGTAAATTATGTGATCGATGACACATTTGTTGTCTCGTCGAGTCAAATAAATAAGTCGCGTTGACGTTGTGCAATAAGAATGTTTGGCCTTTAAAAATGTAGTTCAAATATTTGGACTCGCATAAGAATGAGGTCTGGGTGGCTCATGTTGATGCTGATGAGAAGGATTATTCATGAGAGAAAAGCATATTTACAATTTACTGCGAACGAATAAGAGAAGAAGTCAACCGCGTTTATTGTGGGCTTTGCGTAATGTGACGCTTTTGTCCAAATGTCGATATGGACAGGAGAGTGTTGAATAATCACCATTTTATTTGGCGTTGCATGGTTAATAAGACGACAGGAGACCCACGACTACACGAGCATTGAGATGATGAAGTAATCATTTCGTTAAGCACACACTACAAACAAACATTTAAAGGAGGCTACAAGTTTGTTTGAAATTTTAATTTAAATTTTGAATATTTAAATGAGTTTATAGTTTGTCACTCCAAACTTGGAACGCTACACGACAATTGTGTGGCCCCGTGTGTATGTGTGGGATTACGTGTTGAAATTCTTTCTAAAATATGTAAAAATTTATGAAAAATTTTGGTAAACGTATTGTATTGGCACATTGTCGGCGGATCAAGATTCATGCAAATTAAGGTCTTCTGCAAAACCAAACCCCATCCGCACTTAAAAGTAGGCAGGTAATAAGATACTTGGTTCTTAAAATAATTTAAATCGTATTTACAGGTGCCAACAATCGTATAAACAATGTGCAAGTTGCTACTGTGCTAAAATGTGTGATGTAATGCTGGCAACATTATTGTAAAATAGTAATAGATTAGCATATTACTTTGGACTGTAGAACCACTTGCCCCTAAAAACCCTTTCACTTCTTCAGTCTCATGCTTACGTGTGTAACCAGTGAGTCAGGTGTCATTTCATTTCGGACAAGTCAATTGTCCTCTTTAGTTTTACTTGCTTCATACGCGACGACTCTTTGCTTGTTAAGTAAGGTAAGGTTTGAGAGGAGCTGAACCTATTTATGCCATCTCCTCCTCTTCCTCCTCGTCCTTTTCTGCAGTTGACATCTGACAAATCTGCACCTTTACCTCGACAAAAAACGATAAGAGTTTCTAATGCTAATCTGGGACTTAAAACTGTCTGCGCATGATAATCTTGAGCGATAAACTTAATCTTATTGGATTAAGTCCCTGGCAAGACAATGGATGCATGATCGGATTCGATTAGCATACAAATTTGTACTGGTGTAAAAATAATATCGTTCCAAAGTTGCAAAACCTGAGATAGTATCTTGAACTCTGAAAAGGATTTTAATTTTATAGCAGAGATGACGTCTACTTATAAATAATTTGTATTACTAACTAATAAGTAAGTAACGTAGATATTTAAGCGCGTAGACACCAGGAAAAAAGTTGTGTGCATAAATATGTTGATGTCTTGCAGCTTAGGAATATTTTACCCTAAACAATGCGCAATTTGTGTATGCTAATTTAATTCCCAAATTGCTATAACGGAACACCCGGGACGACAAAAATGGTAGTAGATCTGTCTGCTTGTCTAGCATAATTTCCACAACGTTGAGTCGAAAGCTTAAGAGGGCTGAGGTCATTGGATGTTTTAAAGGGTGGAAAATTAAGTAGAATTATTTGTAAATTTGTCTGCCATCCTACATACGACAAAAAATACAACTAACAACCAAAAAACTTGATACATTCCGTATTAGCATTAACATTTCGCTAGTAAACACCTAATACAGATAATTGAGTGGACTGGGGTCTGTCTACATATGTGATAAAACAAATTCCACAAAAAACACCATTTTGTAAATCCTCTTCGTCCCTTGGCATCAACGACTAATTAGTAATTAACAACAATGACAATTTGTACAACCCCTCAAAATTAATCCACTCAGTCATAAATAAGCATATGGCATTTTTAAAATGTCTTAATACTTGGCATTGCATTTAATTCAAAACTGCTAATGAATCCAAATACAATAGTTTCTTTGGCTGAAGGTGATATTTCAACCACTTGAGTCACTCTCAATGTCACATCACTCTCAATAATGTGTGTTGTCCACAAGTGAAATACAAGCCATCCATCCATCCATCCACCAATCAATCATCAATTGATGGTCAATGCTCACATTACTTGCGTACAAAACCCATCGTAATCTCCTGCAGAATGGGTGAAATGGAAGGCAAAACCTTCCCCTTAATTTACGAGGGTAGTAAAAAGGTGCCAATTGTTGTAACAATGCGGATCTAGTGGCTTGTCCAAGATGAAGATTGAAAAGTCACGATTCCAAAATTTATTTCATTTCATTCTTAACTCCAGCAGACAGGTGGCTGCTTCACTGCTAACGAGACATGTGAATGTGATGTATTTATAAATTGTTGGGGGAATGATTTCATCGTCGGAATGATCGCTACCAAAATAGATTTTCAACATTGAATCCAAGGTATTTTCTTCATCGCTCAAATGAATGAATTGCTTTTGATGCAAGAAATCCCTCCAAATTGATTATGAGTGAGTGATATCATCATTTGCATTCAAGCCAGAGACTGAAGATTACACCAGAGATGCTGCAAAGTAACAATGGAGAGTGACAAGGAGCGACGTGTGTGAGTGTATCAAAGAAAATGAGATAATGCACCACAATAGCACTGCCAATTTAATTAATCCTGCTGACTGTTCCAAAAGTCTGGAAAATACTCTGGAAATTGGCAAAGTTGAGTGATCTAATAAAATGCGGTGATGACGACACTTCCTTCGAGGAAGACTTTTAGAGAACAACTTTCAAAATAACTTGACAACAAAAAAATAAAAATATCTACGATTAATCAGTCTTTATGACGGTAAATAAATGTGTGCAGATCTACATGTACGTAACCTTGAATAGTTTAATAATCTTATCTAATCTAATAATACATATCTCAACCAACATCTACATATGTATTTGTATGTGCATACATAATCACCAGCTACTGACTGCCTCGCCTTCTTTTTTCCAAAATTTAACCCACCTGCGTATGTAGGAAAGACGGAGTACGAGATTATATGGATCGCTGGTTAATCATTGTCCATAAAAATTTCACCCATATGTACACATGAACCCATGAACTGTTTAATAACCAGAGTTGCTTGACACCTTCAGATTTCCTTAAACACGTGCATGTGCATTTAGGGTCAGACCATAATTCAAGTTCGTTCTTCTCCAATGCAACGTGCTGGACCACAACCCACCCGGAACAACATTTTTCCCGACACCCACACACACGCTCACACACGCTCTCAGATACTTTTGCTTTCATGCCATTTAAATCAGATCAGTTCCTCAAATCTCTCCCTGTTCACTTACTTATTTGCTGCTCCAAATGGCTTCAATCAAGCACATCACCTGTCACTCACCCATCATAAGATTATGGCATCACTTAATTCGCCCACATGCACTAAAACTTGCACTTGGGTTTCATTCAAATCGATGCAAAGAGTACGTTGTAGCGTGGAATATTTATTCGTCCTCTCTGCGCGGCGTGGGTGACATCAAGAGAAAAAAACTAGAGTTGCATGCGATGCTACGTATTTATTTATAAGGCGAGCCCCAAAAGATAATGGCAGTGATTCCTCATCCTCATTCCCACACAATTCTTGGGCAGTGGGACCAAGGTCGGGTGGAGTGGAAGTCGGAGGCCTTGGACCTTCTTCACCCATTATGCAGACTACAGAGAGAGTGAGATGACACTGAATTTGACCACGTTTATAATAAGTTTTCTGCGTCGTGTCGTGAAATGTATTTCAATTTAATGGCGAGCACGTTTCGTCTTTGTGATAATTACAAATTGTAGTCAGGAGCTTCTTTATCTTATCATTGAGCAAGATGACAATGAAATTGACAACTACTTAATTTATTTATAGTGCGAGTCAAGTGCAATCCAGTCGTGCATTAATGATAATCAGGATGAGCACGCTTGAATGGTAAAGTACGACTGTATACGGTAATTTGTACGTGCTCTGTAATTTATACGTATGTATGTACACATAAATACTTTTAAAATTGTAGGTGACAAAAACATTGTTTTAGAAAAGTAGACACGAGCAGATTTTGTAATTATGATTTATAAATTTCCGTTCAGTACTATTGATAATAAAATATTTTTTCTTTGTGTACCGCAACGTCACGATTTTGTCATATTTCCACCACCCAACAAATTGTCACCAATTATACTCCGAAATTTAAAGATGTGACAAATTTATAATCATTCTCGTCGCCACCCTTTCTTTCACTGAAAAAACGTTGAAAATGTACATGCTCCGTTCCCACCAAATCCTTCCACCCTTGCCAAAAAAACAATTAATTACCTCATCGTTCTCAACCCTGACAGAGATAATTGAAGCCGTGATGTAATCCCAATTTATTTCTCATTAGTTCCTCCTCTCCGTCATCATTTTGCATTGTCTCATCGTCCCGTCGTCCCATCATCATCATCATCAGGTTCTTCTTCATATTTTTATTTTTCTTAAGCCTCGCCACATTACCACAATAAATGTGATGATGTGATGTCATTTTTGTTTTATGTAATCACGAATTTCCTTGAAGGAATTAATGCACATTTTGCACCTTGTGTGTGATGTGTGGTAGCCCAGCCAAGCCATCACGACGTGTAATAACTATGCGGAATTAAACTCACATTTCTACACGGCGACATACTGAGCAAAAAAAACTTGGCTTCAGGTAAAGTAAACAAAAAGGGCCTACACAAAATTAATGTGGTAATTTGTCTGCTATAAAAATTTGCAGCAATTTCACGCAAAATTGTTTTTAATTCAGGTGGATACATGTTTAAATATGCGAACAAATAACTCGGCGTGAAATTACAAAAGCTACTGAAAATCTGGATCGTTTGCAACGAATTTGCCACAGACCAGGCAGGACCAGCAACGGGGTAATAATCTCAGCATGCAAACACTATTCGGCACACACCACCAAATTAATTTAAAACTAACTGAACTTGTGAAATAATAATAATAATAATGCGATGTGCGAGATGATGTAAATTCCTCATCTTCTTCCTGTTACGTTCTTGAACATGTGTACGTATGCATGGTAGTGGCTTTGTTTTATTTTTTGTGCAATTTAAATCCTTGCAAATTTGCATGCATATCGCCATAGGATAGGGATGGGGTAGACGTAATATCGCATGTACAGCTTGCCAGCAGGTAGCAATTTATATGTAATGTGGTAATTTAATTCTCTAGCTTGGTTTTGGACGAACGATGTGCTCACGTAGCCGCGTTTAGAAGGAGATAATGCTAGGTTTTTATCGCCACGTAATAAAGCGTCCTTTCATGCACACACAAAATATATACACTAACGATTAACATCACATGAATGAGTCAAAAACCTCGGATGAGCAAGAAGAAGATATTCCGTACTAAATTGGCAATCTTTATTTCAAATGTTTCAAATTTTCAGGAAATGCATCAAATTTACAATTTCCGATACCGAAAATTAGCAGTTGTAATGCCGTTAAGGAAAATAAATGGCGAATATTATACCAGAAGAATAAACCGGGTAGACCTTGTTCACAAGAATTGCCAAATTGTGCAGATATTTTACATGCCATTTACCTAATCTCGCTCACTTATAGATGCCCCTCAATCAACATGGGCAATAATTATTAGTCACTCATATGTGCATGCATACTCAACTTTGCTCTTACCATCCCTCTTTACTAACGAGCCTTGAAAACTGTTCCACATCATCAAAATATGCCAATAAGTACTCGTGCATAAATAGTAATCTTGTGCGGCCACCACCAATTTAGTGCCCAATGAAATGTCCTTTGTCATCTTTTTATTATTATTGATATAGCCAAACCCATCTCCAAAGAACAAAACTCTTCCTTAAATTCGATACGGTTGGTACAATAATCACAGCAAGACCTTAATTTTGATTGGTTTGCACAAAAGTATTTACGACCAGAGCGTTGCGCATTCACTTTTGAAAAATAGTTGCAAGCATCATTATTATGGAAATTTAGCGTAGGCGACAGCATCGAGTTTAACGGATCTCCATCTATTCTTCCTCAACACCTTCTTTGTTAACTTACTTTTTTTTATAAAGTTATCTTATTTACAGTATTTGGGACTCATGCAAATCTGGTTTTGAAACTGGCCTACGACTACAACCACGAACCATGGCGCCGCTGTTTTTGGACATTTTGCTAAATTTTTGGACTGAACGCCGTTAGTGTGGGGAGCAAAGTTGTCAACCTCCTGTTGTTTTGGATGGGTTAATTGCACCAATTTTTTACGACGTTTTCTTCACAAAAGAAAAAGTGCGGATGAAAGATGAAAGCTTAATTGCATCAGTTTACAGAGATTTGCATTTTTATTTGAAAAAGTATTCTTGTACTGAAGCGTAGCGGTTGAAGATGGGACAATAAAAAATCTGGTACGGTTTGCGGAAATGTGATCATACACCGCGTCTGCCTGCATGGGTTTTCACGTTCCTGTGACGTTTTTGTGCCTTGACACCTGTCATCATTAGAATCGGTGGACATGAATGCCACTGAAAACCTGGTTTTTAATTGCTCTTAAAAAATGACCGATAATATCGCAGGTTTATTTGTTATGGTCACTCACCGCATCGCCCTAAACGGGACAGTTTTCTTGTCCATATATAACTTTTAAACTCTGTATTAAGAGTTTTAAATACTATTATTACAGCATTTATTTTGATAAATTATAAGAAAGAAAACATGTTACATGGCAGCAACCTGTTGTTTTCCCTACTTTTGGAAAATGTTGAGTACGAATAACTGTGAACAAGAGAAATTTATCTTCCCAATCACCGTTTCCACACTTGAGCCAACTCAGATCTTACGTATTCTGTTATGATGAACTGATTGATGCAATACCAATTTTAACTAACTAACTGAACATCCGCCCTCAAGGTAATACCAGTCGGCTAGCCTAGCAGTCAGTCAGTAGCAACGAATCTCAACATAGTCATTCTCATCTTCATCATTTGTGAAAATTAACATGCTCTCGTGCTCTGTGATTAGTGGTTCCAAGGTAAACTTGAGCCAAGCCCATGTCAATGTTTATTTTGCTGTGAACAATTCCATGTCACACGGAATCTCAGTAATTAAACCAACGCAACAAATCTGGGGTTCTTATGGGACGATAATATGCATATTTCTATAATCTGACAATGTGTAAATGTGTAATTAGATTTATTTCTTGTACACATTTTGATCCAAATTATCTCATATTTTTTTCAATAAAACCCGAAAAAGTACTCACAGTCTTATAGATCCTAATTTCGGCGGTGCTCCAGTCCCACCGACCCTGCCAACCAAGTAACTGTGAACCCCCACCCCACCGAAGTAAAGCTCATCCAGCCAACCAATCTCAGTTCACTTTTTATCACTTCTTTACCCCACAAAAATATATAACCACAATAATTTTACTGATGAATCACTTGACCACAAACCGTATTATTCACTTCACTTCCTTGATTATTGATTGATTCACCTCCAAGTCCTTCGTTTTCCAGGCATTTTTCGCCTTTTGTTCCCCAAACTGTTCACCTGTTTTCCATTCAACGTGAGGTAAAAGGATTAAAAAATATTTCTGCAACTATTAATCCTTCTGCCTTTTTAGAATTCGAGGAAAGAGAGAGGAGGGATGGTGGAGGGATGGATTTTGAGAGACCATAGCAAGCAGTTATGCTATCAGTCTCAGACCCCAGGTATGAATAAAGTTGGCCTGCCTTACTCTAAGCATACATACAATCAACTACCTGGTGGTGGTGGCTACGAGATGATGAGGATGGAGGTGAGGTAATAGTTATCAGCAGAAGAAATGGAAAGGGTAGTTTGCTATGCTGCCGAGTCTCACTCATTCCCTTTCACCTGTTGATGATGGCTCTCCCAGTTTTGCTTGCTTTTGATATTGCAGGGCCTACTACTGCTTGTTGCTGTTTGTTGACCTTGCTCACTAACTACTAGAGCCTCACAACTAAATATATTAGCAGAGATGGATGAGGGGATGCCTAAGGAAAATCAAACTCAAGACTATTGCATGCAAAAGTAACGACGCTGTGCATACCAGAAAGCAAGAGATACTGCTGCTTCGTGCCTTCTTAAGCAGTTCTACTGCCGCATATCTAGCTAGATATCCGTTTAGCAGTGCTGAGGAGGCAGTGCAAACCATATTTTAACGTCTTTGCCTGCAATATAATAAATAATATTCGAATTGGTCGAGAGGGTAGCTTCATGAAATTTGTTGGGGTGCAGGGGGGGTTGAATTTTGGTTTGCTAATTTATTTTTGGAAACAGACTAGGGGGTTCGAAAATTAACCCTTTTTCGAAAATTATGACATAATGTTGTAAAATCTTGTGATAGCATCTTCCACGTCTGACATAACAGCATTTATTTACATCGGTGTTCCTTGAATTTTAATGAGAAGATTTGCACTGCCACTTGAACCAACTGAATTTTTTAGCGAACACAAGCTCACATACTCACGAGAGATCATAGGAAAGGGTGTGTCTCAAAGATCCCATTTTGATCGTCATCATCGTGTACGTATTATGAACACTTGCGTATTATGTACATACGTGTAACGTGGTGGGCTTTGCCATTGCTTCTAGATTACTCTTGAGGTTATATATTTTATTTTATTAGACTCCGTAAATCACGCTTCATTAGAGGAATGCTGATGATGGTGCTCAATTTTATGTTGTCGTTGCCCTAATCTTACGTGTCAAGAAGGACTTATCATTGGTTGGTAGGTCGTATTCTAGTCAGTGCAAGATTGGTTATGTCAGGCAGGATGGATGAATATTGTAATAATGTGACGTGACCCTCCCAAAAATTAAGAAAAATCAAATCCCATTGTTTTTCCCTGTTGGGCGGTGGTTCTTGTGTAGGTCACAGCAGATGGTCTCGGTCTCCCTTCATCCGGTCTCACCCTTTTCTAACTCAACCAAGTAATTTTAACTTTAGCGTGACGTCAGGCACAACAAAACGAGTAAAAACAAGCCTGGAACCTGTAGAATAAGAAAACAAGAGAGAAGATTGCCATCTTCTCATATTTCACACGCGACACAAATATCTTACTCGACGATCTTTAATTACACGTTGCAATTCTGTGTAATGCAAATGTCCACGGCGTCTTTTAATTTTTTCTCTTCTCTGTCACATCATCATGACCAAATAAAGCACTAAATGTTGACCAATTCATGTCAATACGATTGTTCATATTCTTCATAGAGATAGACAAAGGCTTTTATTATTTGAGGATTCTATGCATATGGGATGCTGACTCAATGAAAGTGTTTCACACTCACATAATTTCACTGCTTAATAATTAGTGCTCATTGCTCAGTTTTATCTCTTAATTGCTAGAATTGTGTCTCATCCTCCCATCACCATTTCATTTCATCGTCATCCCATTATTGTTGATACATCACGATTCACGAGAAATCGACATAGGCACACGGGCCATTGGAACAAGACGGAGAGAATTATGAGACATGTGGACACCTTCTTCCATGGAGATTCTTCTACAGGCTTTGCAGTCATTTGCATAAACTGAAACTACTATAAAACGTAGGATTTCAGGATAGGATATATTCTCTCCACTCTCTTCTTGTACATAAATATGCAAGTTACGAATTGTTACATTGCTCTTTATGTTGGATGGAGTTGGGTTAGTCAAGCTTTTCTCATGATACTGATTGTTCTTAGAGTGGGGAGAGTCGTCACTCCATTTCCTTGTGCATATCGTGGGAGGATATCTTCTTAAAGGAAACCACCATTGTTGCATCATCATCACCACCACCACCACCACTGCCAACTACTTACAAAGCAACCAGTATAAGGATATCGCTCACATCTCATCATCTCTTTCATTCTCAGTCTGCGCACTTTTTATGTACCCCCTCTCATCCCAAGTTAACACGTAACAATGGTCAACAATGCCAAACCAAGCGTCAAGTGTTCCTCTCTTTTAAAGCTAAAGTGAATTTATTCACATTATTTTGAGCTTAAGCACAACTTGTTGGAGGGGGTGGGTGATCTCAGGTCCGTCTCACCGTCTGGTGGACTAGGAGGAAAATTATTACTGCGGAGAGAATAATAAAACTGACTGTCTGCTTGGAAAGATCGCTGAAAGATAGTCGCCCAATGGGAGAACGCTGCTGGAAGATAAATGTGTAAACTTGTGCAATAAAGACGTAGATTTTTAACCTGCACCGATTTAGAAAGTTTTTGCAACTTCTTTATTTTATTGCGAGTAAATCATAAAATAGTTTAAAAATTGAATACTTATTTCTGAATGAATGAGCACAATGCAACAATATACTTTGCTACAGCTTCTTGCAATTGTTGCCTTCGTTTCATTGTGAGACAACAACAGCTCCACAGTATGTAGTCGTGTATGCGCATTATATGAATATGCAGATTTCTTGCTATTCTCCTACTTAACTTGGAATAGCATGAGCTATTTATTATAGTTTACACATCACAATAATTTCAGATTTTTTGTCAAAAAAATTGCTCACCTCAACAATACAAAAAAAAAACATCTAGATTTTGCAAAAATTCAAAAATTTTTTTTTGCTTACAAATCTGCCTATGTATGCGTCGTTATGGAATGATTAAGAATTAAGTTACATAAAAAGAAGCTCAATTGCGGACACGGAATGCGGTTTGTTCGCAACTACAAAGTGTAGTCGTGGAGTTTGTTGTGCATAAAATGAGCTCGTGCAGTAAGTAAGTACTTTGGATGGAGATTGTTGTCTTTGTTATTATGGGGAAGAGGCAAGATGAAGGAATCTTCTTCACCTTGTAATTCCCATCAGCTCGGCAGCCGCAGTCCAACAATAAAAGTCCAGCATTCCTTTGGTTTGCTGCTTGAGTGCAGACAACAACAACAATTTTGCAGGATGGAGCAAGTCATGAAGTCATCATCATGATATCCACCAGAATTCTCATGAATCCCATCAAGACATGACGAGATTCGAGTGAGGTTTGCAATTAGTCCAGCCAACTTTCAGTTGCGATGAGCCTTCATGAATCAAGTCGCAAGTTTCCCAGCTTGTCAAACTAATAATGCTGGAATTAATGAGAAAAAGCAATTTTATGATGATGCGATGATTAATTGGAATAAATGAACTTATCAAATTTATGTTTCCTTACATATTACAATTTTTGCGTGAATTATGGAAAATTTGTGTATGCATACGAAATAATGCTAAGTGGATACGTTTATCTCTACTTGCATGTGAACGATGGATGCTGCTCTGGACCACAATCATGTCGAATTTCATTTTAATTCAGTAGACAAGGAAGTGACTCATTACTATTCTGGCTTGCATAGATTTATCCGCAAATTTCTTTAATTTGTGCAGCGTTGCTTCGTTTTAGCACAACCAGTGACCACAATGAAATGCGCATCTTCTTTTCTCACAATGCCGACTGACGTATCTACCTCGAAGCTGGTGCAGCTCATTGTTTTTTAAGGCAGATTTGTCATTATCGTCATTACGATGAAGTACCAAGTACTCCCTTTCATTTCTCTATGCACTCGAGTGCAGATACTCAAGTACGACTACTGCACGCCGGAAATATTTTACATGACCAAGGTTTTGAGGAGGAATATGTCATGTGCGAATCCTCATATTTTGTTTGAGGGACAATGTACACAAGCGATAATGAAAGTTTTGTGCATGATGACAATTATTTATTTTTTGTGTTTGTCTAAATAGTTATGCGATTAAAGGATTAAAAGATCCGAGGACACTTATTATTAGAAAGCCGCCAATAGATTTTCAAGTAGCCTCGATAACTAAATTCTTGTATGTACAAATTAATGTGTTATTATTACAACATTTTAATATGTGAATTTATACGACCGTGTGGGTTGTCGTAAAGAACTTTTGAGCAAAAATGTATACATAACCATTTGAAAGTACCTTCAGCATTTCGTAATTTAATATGACCGTGAAATGATCGTGAACACTTTTCATTTTTATATACATAAGTTATTAAATAAGCATCATAATTTTGGAATCCCAATGGAGTCATTTATAGGCATTCAATAAAATCTCGTTTGCAAACATTTACGAAAGATCCAGTTTTGTACTCGACGCTAATAAAATGTATCTGGCTCAATATTTATTACTTTGTTTTCATCTTCACAATTGGAGGAATGTGCATGCAAACGTGCACCAGCAACGGAGAACGTAAATCCACGGAGCAGTTTGACAAGTCTTCCCTGCCGTTAATTACAGCCACCAGCGGCGTTGAACGTGGTAATAACTATGGTTTAGCTCTTCTAATTAGGGATAAATGGTCGTCATTTTTAAGACGAATGGCAGATCATCCCGACAGATTCAATTTAAAACATTTAATTTTAATTTTTCACAAAAACGTTAAAAATTTCTTTGAACACATTACGAGCAATGTTTAGATAGATAAATATAAACATAAATCCATTCCTTAAGCCCACAACTTACTAAATATTGCAACAATCCAATGTCATCAACTGCCAACCATGCCTTATCAACGACCAAAAACAGTCACTCGTTCAATGGACGTTTCAAGTGATCAATTTCTTAAAAAAAGTAAATTTATTGGTCCCACCCTGGGCTATTTGAGGTAGTATTTATTTGTCCTGTTATTCCTTACTTGTCTCACTCACTCACCACGAGATTGAAAGGTCATTGGTTTTATTTTCAGTTTTCAAAGAAGATGCA